TGAGGAGATGCTTCTGCCAGAGCAAGCTCTTCTTGGCCTAGAAACGTGCTGATTAGTTGCTCACGTAAGCTTTCCCATGCAGCCTGGGGTTTCAGGTTAGATGAAGGGCAGAAACTTGTTATTTAAGAATTTCAGAGATAAGCAGCAAGACATATATAACTGCTAATGGCAGGTAGAACACCATCCCTGTTTAGTAGGTGCTTTTAAATCTGTATTTCTTCCCTGTTATAAGCATTATCTTGTAGCATATGTGAAATTAGACAGAAATAGCAGAAAATAAAAACTAGCAAAGTCACCAATCTGGCTGACAGGGAACTGAAGCTCAGAGAACTCACATTAAATCTACTGTATGAGGAAAGACTAAGCGAGCTGAACCTTTTTAGCCTGGAGAAGAGATGACTGGGAGAGGATCTGCTAAACATGTATAAATATCTGAGGGGCGAATGTAAAGAGGGGGCCAAACTCTTCTTGGTGGTGGCCAGTAACAGAACATGGGGTAATGGGTAAAAATTGATGTACAGGAAGTTCCACCTCCGTATGAGCAAGAATTTCTCTACTGTGAGGGTGGAACAGGCTACCAAGAGAGATTGTGGAGTCTCTTTCTTTGGATATGTTCAAAGCACACCTGGATGCAAACCTAAGCAATGAGCTTCAGGTGTCCCTGCTTGAGCAGGAGAGTTGGACTAGATGATTGCTAGAGGTCCCTTTCAACCTCAACCACTCTGTGAGTCTGTGAACAGACCTGTCTACTCACCTAGGTGAGAATGGTTATACTGCATTAAGAGTAACACTGCACTAAAACTGAAAAGATTTATAAAGATATCCACAGCTGCTAGTCAGAAGCACTGAAATGCTGTAATTGATGTACCTTCAGGTGATCTCAAATAGCATTTTCATACGAAAAGTAATCTAAAAGTCCCTAATGACTGCATAAGCTTCTCAGAAACTAGTCAAACACATAGGTAACTTTTGCAATCAGATGCCTGTGGTGACCGTTTCAAGTCATGTACTTCTAAATACTGTTTTTAAACACTTAGTAAAGTGGCTTCTTCTTTCTTTTGCTTGCCATTACTCACAAGGGAATGTCAGTGTGCTATGGAGATGGGAAATTGATTAATGGCACATTTTCTTGAGATGGCATGCTTTAAGAAGAGAGGAGCAACACACACAGTTTCATGACTAAAACTGGGCTGAGTAAGGCTAGAAGTTGCTTGCAAGAGTAACGGTGGAAGATGCCCTGATAGGTTCTCCACTATTAGGCACCATTGGTCAACTTAAGTAGATGCTCAGTGTGATGCTCATTAACCAAGTTCTTTACTATTTCACTTAAGGCCCTCTTTTATGCCCACTGTGTCATTTCTAAACTATTAGAGACAAACAGCACAGAATGTACCCATACTTTACAAATAAATCACAAGAGTTTTTTTTATTAAATCTGCAACACTTTATCTTGACACTTGAACTTCAGAGGTTCACTTGAATCTCTGAGGAAAGATAGCTGTACCCGCTGCAAATTCCAGACCTTACCTTGAAGTGCTAGGAGTGTAAGGATTATAAATAAATAAATAAAATTATTTCAGAACATCTAGAAAGGTTCAGATTAAATCTATTTTTTTTTTCATAGCCATCCAACTGGTGCGTTACAGAAAATGGCAAGAAAATGCCAGAAAAGACCAAGTCAAAATACATTTAAAATTTTAACAGTATGTATTTTGTCACCTTTGTGCACTGTTACATCCTTACAGCAGCTTAAAATTTTCAGTCTAGCCAGAAGCACTGGCAGCAGGCAGAAATAACCAAAATATTTTGCATAATAAACATCTGAATCTGAATAAGGCCAAGCGCATTCATTAGCAACCAGAAGAAAGGACAATTTTCCTGGTTGCTCAGAAGCTGACAGCTTACCTAGGAAGCTGAACTCCCAGGAAAAGGAGAGGATCTCACAGCCATCTCTGACAACCCTCTCTTTTAAGTCAAGTGAGCCAAGCAGTAAATTCACATCATGATGCCAGCCAAGAATCATTCCAACTAACATTTAAGCACACCCCAGGAACAAGGAAACTCAAATACAACCAAAGAAATTATGTTAATAATATCTCCTTTTGGAAAAGAAGTAACCAGCAGAACTACAAGCAAGCAGGAGAAGACGTGAAACAGCATTATACGCTGTGCCTACTGCAGGACCTGGGAACATGCCCTAAATTGTTGCTTCATTTGCCCATCCCAAGCAAACCCGACTTTTATCCCTAGGTAGAAGATCCACTGGCACACTGTCCAGCAACCCCCTGCTCTCTGCTCTTTCAAATCTAGCCAGTTTCCTCTGCCTTATGCAAGCGGCAGGCCTGGAACATGTCCTGGCACAAAGTACTGCTCGGCTTAGGTGCAGCTATGAAGATAGAGAGACCTGAAAATGTGAGACTGGGTTAAGAACTCCTCCTGGCAATTTTCAGGTCTTGTCCATGTAATTATCTGTAGTGGGGAAGTTGTCTTTATGAATTAAATACAAAGTTTGAATGTGGCTACCACCTACCTTCTTAATTTCTGGGGGAAAGAGATATTTTAAAAGTGGCTTATTTAGTGTAGATTTATTTTGTTTAAATCCAGCACCATTAAGAAGATTGTAGGTTTATTGGGGGAGGAAAAAAAAAAACAAAATCAACAACAAAAAACACATTCAGATACACTCCACAGCTGTTAGCTCAATGCTGGAATGTGCTTAAGTTTCTTCTTGTAAGGATCACCATTCTACAGCCGAATTTGTTAATTAGGTATCACATTTTAAAAATGTTTCTGAAAACCAGATACCCATCAGAATATAGCAGAAACTGCGAGAACACTGGTGACAACAGGTTGTTGCCTCCACCAATAAAACATCATATTTTCTTCAGGGAGTGAGCAGTCACATAGCTCTGCGAGCAGAGCTTTGAATTACCAGAGATGCAAAAAGAGCAGCATCCTGATTTCTTTCACTCCTTGGGCCACCCCTCTCTCACCCTGTCCCTGAAACCTTGGGTGCAAACATTAGCTGCTGGCCCTGAGCGAGACCCTCTGAAGCCCTGCCTTGGCCAAAGCAGATTTTGATCTGACTGCTTAAGGCATAAAACCCTCCTCTGGGTTTGCCTACCAGACACAGAAAGCGAAGGAGCACACACGGCCAAGAATCATGTGAATCCTTAGGCCCAGGCCTATGTCATCAAATATGGGCAAATAGCAGATATTATTTAGACTATGTTTTGCATTCTTGGTCGTCCTTATATTAAAAGATATGGCATTTCCCTACTCGTTATAAAAATGTCCCTTGACAGTTTGTGATGTCAAGGATGACAAGCGAAGGGTAAGGGAACAGCAATGTACACCAATTACGCCTTTGCTTTAAATCACATAAAAAGTTGTCCAAGACAATTGCCAAACATTTGTGTCTCCTCAATGAGCATTATAGAAATAGTACTTTCATAAAATAGGAATGTATCAGATCAGAAATTTGTCTCTGACTTCCTGTGCCATTATTTTTGATTGCCAGACCCTGTCAAATGTCAAATTACCACCAATAATTCACCCACTGAAGTGAATAATTCACCAATAACTCAAGTCACCTACGTTTGAAATGAATTAACTTCAGTCACCGGCAGAAACTTATTTGGAGGCTAAATCTGGGATTCATGCCAGAATCATAATGAGAAGCAAAAGTAATGCACGTTGCACATGAGGCAATCTCTTTTCAGATTCTTTGTCAACATGCATTGAGATATGTCTCTTACATATGTGAACGGTAAGATTATTACAAATGAAACTTTTTGAAATAGAATGTTCCATAATACAAAAGGAAAGCGAAATTGTTACTTAACATGTTGTTAAGCTTTACTAGTTAGGTTATGATTTCAAGCACTCTTCAAAGATGAGCACCAGGCAGCTCCAAGATTGCATATGCATACTGGCCTTTATGACATTAATTTAAGATGCTCCATGTTCAGTTTACTCTGTTTATTGTGGTCATTATAAGTATGGGATTTGAGTGACAGAAGCAAGTCAGGCTTTAACAATGTTAAGAAAAATAATGTATTTTCCCCATTTTGCGGTTCAGGCCCGAGGAATGTATTTTCTGAAATAAAATTGTTTGTTAGTTACTACATATGATTTGAAAGCAACAAAGTAATAATTCACAACATTATTCTAGTTATCCATTCATCATTATTTATTTGAAATATCAATACTTTCCAAGATATAGTTTATACATTAAGCGGTAGGGAATTGTCTTCATGTCACATCATCTGGTACTAAAGTGGCACAGCCAAAGCAGCACATTAAAACTGTGAAAGAGTCTGTACAATTTAGATAAATAGAACTCTGAATACCTAAACTAAGAGAACTTTTACAATTATTACCAAAATAATGCTTAGAAGCTAGGCACCGCACTGTACACACAAAATGCAGGAAAGAGGAAAATAAAAGAACAAACATACAGGAAACGTTTTTGCATATATAGCCACATGTCTTTAATTGCGCAACACAAAAAGAAAGAAATTTTATTTAGTCCTCATTGAGGGCAGAATATGCACAAATGATGTTCGAAGAACACGTGGTAGACAGAAACAAAAGAAATGAGGGTTGTATTTGGTAGGTTATTTTTATCCCCAGTAAATGTGTTTACAAAGAGTATCTGGTGTTTAGGGAGCGTGATGTTGTGCCAGAACTTGACAAGAAACAGGTAACATTTATGCCAGCTTTATTCCCTGATCTGCTCTGCTACTGACTTTTTGTTAATCATGCTCAGAGATGCTGAAGGGAAAATGCATGTGGTTGTAGTTCAAGCTTTTTACTACAGGAATCACCTTTTATGACTTACAATTTACTTATAGATGGAAACAGGCCTTTTAATAATAATAAAGGATACAAAAATGAGCAGAGATCTGCAGGATACAGTACAGTGGTTCACTTTCTAAGAAACCAGAGACCCTACATTTACATCGTCTCTGTGAGACCAGCACAGACTCCCAAGCTGTTTTGGCCAAAAGACATAATGCTGTTTAGGCAATACTAGACCTGTGTGAACTGTATCGTCAAGAAGAATGGCAAGAACTTTTCCCTCTTTTTACAGAGAACTAAGACTGAAAAGTAATACAGTGGTGATAGGCATTATCTTCCCAATATCGCCATCACTTTCTACTACATCACCAAGTTCTGTTTGCCATCATCTTTCCAGTTTCACATCAGCAATGGCTCTGGCTACGACCAGGCTGGTGTGGCCACGTGAGCTAACCCACCTTGTGGTGGCTCAGAAGATACCACGCATCACCACTACGTAGTATGACAACACGTAAACCAAAGATGCTCAGTGGGACTTGATGACTCTAACCACTGCAATTCGCACTTGTGAAGTGTTAAGAAGCAGCATTCTGAAAGCAGTGGTACCAACACAACTATTTGGATCAAAGACAAGGTGAATCAGCCATCCTAATTGGGCAAAGGAACTAGAATATCGACATAATTGATAGGGAAGAAACCTGACTGGCCATTAAGCATGCCTTCATACCAATTTTCATCAATCTGGTTAGTGAGGGTAATGATATCACCCTCTTTAAATCCCAGCTCCCCTTCATTTTCTGGTTCAAAGTCATAAAGAGCTCGGCAGCATGGCTGATCCATATGAGCACCTACGGGAAGGAAACACAGAGAAACAATATGCTTAAAAACCTCAACTATTACAGATACCTTCTTATATCTACCACAGATTTTGCTACTCCATTATAACTCAAACTATTATTTCAGTCCTTTGGTGAGATCTAATTGTGCAATGCAAAATTGTATTAGAAGACAGATAGCAGCTATTCATAGCTTTGAATTTTGATGTGTGACTCTGCCTATAAATGTCTGAGTATGCTCAAAGCACCAAACTACAGTCAAGCCCTCACTTAAAAGCAGGGCTACGATCAACCCGGGATCTCATGTTTCTCTGTTTAGTTTACAAAGCACATAAAACAAAGCAAAAGCTCTAATGTATTTCCAGCTGTACTAGCACAGAGATGATTTGCTTGTGCAGACTATGTCGGTAGAGCAAGGAACATTTTAACAGGGAAGGCATAACTGTGCTACTGTTCAGAAATGTTAATAGTTCAACTGTAGTGTAAATAGACCTAAATGCTCATAAACATTTTTTTTTTAATGTCGAGTTTCCAAAGACCCCTTTAACACAAAACTCTTGATAATTGCATAGGCACTAGAATGGACTCCTAAAGACAGTTTAAATTAAAATCTTTCCAATTATAGGTCAGTCATCCAGTAAAACTGGTTCATGAAAATCTGCACTAACCATCTGGATGGATAATCAACATTAGTGTAAGTTATTAGTATCTAGCAGACTTTCCTAGTTTATATGAAATTAATAAATATTTTCTCCCTGAACATATCTCTATAGTCTCAAGCCCACCATAAGCAAAATTATTAATGGTTGAACAGTTTTTGTGAAGATGTCCATACAACAAGTATTTCAAATTATAATTAATTTCTAAAATTCTGTAGTGAATCCTACTTTAATTTTTTTATATATCAGGCACAATTTGTTTCGCTGGGGGAATCAAAATAAAGAAAAAAAAAAAAAAGAGAGGACATACCTTATGTGCCATGTGCTATTTTGCTACATCACCAAACCTCAAAAAGCCTCTTTGGTTTTCTCACTACTAAAGCTTAGATTCCTTAATTATGAAAAGTAAGTCTTAGTAAGATAAGTGCTTAGTAAGCCATCTAGCTTTGAATGAACCAGGCCCAGACTATAACTAATGAATTTTCAAAGAAGCAAGAGTTTCTCTGGAACCAATGTGCACTTCACAAGAAAAAAACCCAGTTGAAGAAAACGCTAATTTCCAGTGTCTCTTAGGATGAAAACAGTTAAGATGAGTACTTAAGAGATGTAGGAGCATCAGTATTTACTGCCACTGATCTACTAACCAGTATTAATGACACTACAAAAAAAAGGACTGAAGAAAATTGCTGGTGGCATGACAGTGAGAGCATTAACAAGCAAGTCACAAGCTATGCTCATGCAGAAGGAATCCACACTGTATTCCCTCCATCCCTCCCCATCCTTATGGTGGGGAGGCTGTTCAACATTTACAAGAGTGCACAAGACAGTTTCCAGATGCAGATGCCCAAAGCCAAATGGAAATACTGTTGCAAACTACAACTGGGAAAATGTCAAGCATGCTCATCAGGATGTGATGACAAGGAAGGAAATACTGCTTAAAGATTTAGAGAAAAAAATTTAATCCTGCAAGGTGCATTGTGCTGGGAATTGTCATTGAGGTCAACTAGAACACATGATGACAGGGTCCACAGCAAGGGCAGCCCTTACCATAACGTGGGATAAAAGACCATGACTGTGAGAAACAAATGATAAGGCTTTCTTAATACATGATGATCTGAAAAAAATTGCATCTTTAAATGATGAGTTATGTATAGTCATACATATGTTTCACCTTGCTTATACCTCTCTCCTTTGGCTTCATTTTTGTTTTCACTTGTCTTTCTTCCTGGCTGCCAGTGCTGTAATACCTGGCCTTAAAGGGCAGGATAACATTATTGGTTTGGGGAGCATGTCAGGCTTCTGCATTTTCACGGAAAGCATTCAGTTGTTTTTTTGACAAGATTTATATTCAAGGTGAATTTAGCAACATTTCTTTGAGCTTTTAAGACTGAAAGAATTGTTGATCTTAGGCCAAAGATTTATAGCAGTGGATGATCCATCCATGCTCTCACAGCTCAGGTTCTAAACACAAAGAACTCTGTAAAGTGCTTTTCTACTGGACCACTGGAATCAATATAGTCAGTTTAAACATACCTCACCTATACTATCCTTCTGCTCATTTTTTCTCACTTGTGGAAAAACTCATCTCTTCGAGGGAGTGCTGAACTTCTCTATTGTAGCAAAGCTTCAGATAGACTTTGTTTAACTTGGCCATATTGCCATTACATTTACCTGATGGTTTGGGTGTTGTGGCATGGGATATCCCTCCATTGTGCTGAGTATTTTCACCAGTAGTAAAATCCAGGCTCATACGAGGTTTGGGCTGGTATTCTCTCCTGGGCTGAGATGATGCCTCTTTTATTCTGCCAAAACATGAAGAAAGTTAAATGGCAAGAGTAGCTTTCTGGTTGATGGATAAGATGCACCAAATACTTAAACTTCCAAGTCTTCGAGGTTCATGACCACCGATCAGACAGAGTGAACAAGTTTGGGCATTTGGAGTAAATTTTACTTGTAAGATTAGTTTAAATTAACAACAACAACAACAACAACAAAAGTGGGGGTTGGCTGTGCCATGAGGTTACTCATTTTTGTTTTTTCCTTGGAATTAGCATTTTGGCTGGTTTATTTTTGTCTAACAGCAATGAGGGGCTTCCAGTGAAATGGAACTTGTGATATGATTTTAACAATCTTTGGAGAAGGGTTGTACAAATATCTCCACCTCTATTTTTACTTTGATTGCAGCCTGCCATTTTACTGCTATGCATGACAAGTCTTTACTGAGCACTGATTTCAATAGCTGTCATTTTGTGAGCAGACTGTGTGGGAAGGTATTGATTTTCAGGTGCAGGCAATTTATTTGGAGCGCTTATTGCATAAAAGTGTACAGTTCCAGTTTTCTTGACTCTCATATTAAAAAATTATGCATCAGTCGTCTGAATTTGTTTTCCAAGCTGTGAAATTTTGTAAACTGTAAAACTGCAGAATTCCTAGGAAGTGGTCCCTTTTCAGATTGCACGGAAAAATCTAGACAGGGAAGCTGGAATCACAGTTGTTTATATTCAGCAGTTTCCACTTCAATTTCTGTCATCACACTGGGAAGATTACACGAGTAATGACCTCACTGTTTCAATGGCTTTTTTTCTCTAACCTGTTATAGCTTGGCCCATGCTCTCGATAGCACAAAGTATATATTTTGATTCGAACTACTGAAAAGATCAGCTTCTAACTTAGGTGGTTTTAATTCTGGCAAAAAGAATTTCCTCACCATCCAGATATAGTTAGTACTGATCATTTGGACCTTAGTCTTCTTAACAAACAAAAACATAAAAATGTGAAAAATATGGAGGTGACAGAAGAAACTTAAATGAAAGACCTTGTGGTCAGCCAAGCTACAGAAGTGGACTGACTGATGTGAGATTCTTGAGAAGTTAGTAGTGTGGTGACCAGCAAATTGCACAAAGTTAAAATATTGGTAATTTAGCAGAAGTTTCATATAGGCAAAGGATGATCTGAATTGAGCCAAAGCCAACTGTGGACATTACAGAAAAGGAAATCTGTAGCAGATAAAGACCTGCTCACTTTATGCCATAACTTCTGGACTAAAATACAATCTACCTGTTCCCAAAGCTTTTTAGTGCTTCTGTACAGCAAGGGAATTATAGTATTTATTTGGAAAGCTCTGACAATCATTTTCTCTTAGCTCTTTAGGCTGGGCGGAAAACTTCAGCCAAAAACAGCTTGCTGGACAGCCTACTTGCCAAAACAAGTGTGATTTCCACAGACAGAGAAGTTTCACGATTAAAATTGAATGAATCTTAAAACCTGTGTGTTCAGAGAAAATAACCACTGAAAGACCCAGTGGTCCAGAAACTACATCTATACTAATGACATTAGAAAACACTGAAGAAACATACGCAATTAAGATGTTGCCTTTCCATTCATTCCACACAATATATGAGCACTTATTGCTGTTGGGAATTATGGCCAGATTTGAAGAGACGTCATCCAGAACTACATGGAATAAATAAAACTTTACTTTATGCTATTTTTCTTCAAGAAGGACATGTGTGTGTGGGAGGCTGATAAACTTTCTAAAAACATTATCTTCCTCATTTCAGGAGGATTCAATATGTTTCATGTTGATGGAAACAAGATTTCTTAAGATTAAAAGGACACTGAATTAATTTGGAGATAGCACACAGTCCTATAAAAGAGGGGATGGTAGAGGTAAAGTCAATTAAGCTTTTTATCAAAATTGACCTGATAACAGAACTAAAAGGGAGACTATTTAGTTCATTAGCAAATGGAGAAGGAGTATCTGGCCAAGGGAGGTTAACTGCATCTCTGAAAAAGATTATTTCAGAATTAATGCAGGAATAGTGCATAAAAACAAGTCTTAAGTCCTACTGATTAATAGTGTTTGAAAGTACATACTTTCAATTAAAAACACATTTAATAGCCTTACTGAGCTGATACAATTTCCTGGACTCAGTCATGCTCAGAAGTACATGCCTACTCCAAATTAAACGAACTTCTATTTGCAAATGCAAATAAGATTACCCTATTTTTCATAACCATGAATGCTAAAAATTCCAAAAGGTAACTTTTTCATGCACTAATCATAAGTTTTTAGTCTCTGCAAAACATAAAACATTTTGACAAACTTAGAAAAAGTGAACGGTACCTCTCTTCCAGCTTAGAAGTAACTCGCTGTAGGATCTGCGTGGCCTGCTTGTGGTACTCCAGTTGAGCTTGTACAAGAGCAGAAAGCTGGCTCACTTGTTCAATCTGAGGATTGACATTAAAACATCACATTTTAGGTCTGTACCAATAGCTGAGCAACAGCATATAAAAGACACCATCACAGTAACGCTGCAAAGACAGCCGTATATAGTTCCCGGAAAAGTTGGTTCATCTTCTGTAGCTTGCAGGTTGTTACCTTTCAGTTAGCATTTCTCTATAAATACCACATCTGGTTATGGCCGCACCTGGGGTTTTAACTGCAGCTCTTCTCATTTGATCACATCCACAGGCTATTTGCACACACAACAGTCTACAAATCTACTTCATTCAGAAAAACCGAATGAGCAAAAACTAGTCAGTAATTGAAGTGTGATATATCTCTTCCTCCATTCAAGGCAGACGAAATTGAACAGAATATGGTTATGCTTTTATCACAGTGTGGTCAGTGAAGTGGACCAAAACAGAAAGATATTATGCAGTCTTGGATGCTGGATATTTGTAGTGCATACGAACACTATTTTACTTCATGAGAGAAGATCACTCCAAACTCTTGTGGCATCAACACATTTTCCAGCACCTTCCACAGTATGTAAAGTCACAGGCATAATGCAGGCCTGGACCATCTGGCTACATGGGACTGCATATCACTATAAGCCTTAAACTACAAAATTATTCTGCTTGTTTAATTTCAGCACAACTATATCTTGTTTCTAATATGCAAATATTTTCAGTTTTATTATGACCCTTTTACAACACCGGCAGAAAAATGAGATATTAAATCGGGTGTACTTTTAGCCTATAAATAAATCTACTCATCTACTTCACCTGAAATATTTATACTGTGCTTTCTTTTGACAAGATATTTTGTAAGACAGACTTCAACTGAAAGGATTGCTTTTTTCCTTCAAAAGGGGCAATTTTTTCTTGGTGTTTGTTTTTACATTTTCTAGCTTACAAATTCTCAAAAAAGATCTAGTAGGTTTGATTTCATTCCTGTAGGCCTACAGTCAGATGCTAAAACCTTAGCTAATTTGTAGGCAGAACATAAGCTCCAGACTCACATTAGAGCAGTCACATTAAATTTGACTTTTCTACTCATCATTGCATTAGGTTAGGACAGAGACCTGGAGGTTGCAAAATTCATTTTTGTTTTTTTACTAATCCTCCCAGCACAGTACACTCTTGAAGAAAAGCCTCAAACCAAACCCCAACCACAGCTAAGTAGAAATCATGACTCACATTCATTAATTCTAGAGCATGAAGATGTTTTATCTTTGGCTACAAATAACTCTACACAGCTAGAGAGCACATTTCTATGCCAGATTTTAAAATGCTTTTGGGTTTTAGATTACTGCCTTCACTGGTGCACCGGTGTCTTTCTAATTTTAAAGGTCAGCTCAAAGAACAAACAAGGCATTTCTCACATCCATCTCCAGAAGGTTGAACATGCTTGACTCAGCAATCTCTTTGGATTCATCAAATTTCTCCAGAGCTTGGCGAAGTTCTTCATCAGGGAGTTTGCCCTGCCTTTTCTTTTTGTAATCAAAATCCAGGCGTCGACCCTCCATTTTCTTTAGGTGATGCTGTAAAACAGAAGGGCACATGCAAGCTCAGTATGAATCCCATTTCCAAACTCTCCTTTCTTTGAATGAAGAATTCATTACAATTGCATGTAAGATCTCACATAACTAGGCAGCTCATATGCATCTACAAATATGTGCTGTCTCTCTGCAGTATCACCTCTTCCTCTGGGGGAATGAACGCATAGCAATGAGGTCATTTTACATCGCACCTAAGAAGTCATTTTGCACTGGCATCTGAAAACAATACACCTCCAACATTAAAACAAACAAACAAACAAAAACCTTGAACACTCGAGTAAAAGTTATGAGAGTTTCTAACTTTAAACATACGATTTGGAATTATCTGTGCACTGTGTTTTTCTGCTAGAATTCTAAGGGAAAATTCCACTAAAAGCACAAATTGATATTTTTTTGCTTATGTCAGAGTTTTCATGAACAAGATGAAGAGGATTTTTTTTTATTTACATGATTTTTCACTAAATGATCTTAACTTTTTTGAAAGATTTTCTAGTTTATTCTCATATTTAACCATGTGACAGTCTTACTAAGCTTCAAAGAATAGTTATTCATACAGATAAGCATTTGTTGCATTTGCTTTTTCCTCTACAATTGAAAAATTAGCTGTATCCACATAAGTATGCATGCAAATAATTTTTCTCTGTAAATGATGGACGGTACTTGGATGACTAACTACACATTTTGTGCAAGCAAATGGTATTTGTGCTCTCAATTCCTGGGAACGTTTTGGGCACAAATTGTGTATGTACAAAAGAGTAGTGCCGATCTAGAATCAGTTATCAAAATCTCTCTGCATGTCATGCATTACAAAATTGAATGTAAATACCTATCCATCTATTCAGATAGTGACACGACTTTTCAAATGGTTGAATTAGTACAATCTGCTTGTGTCTGCAAAATAATAAGATTTTCAAAGTTGACTATGCCACTGTCAAAAAGTGACAAAGATAGAACTGAAAAATAAAACTCAAATCAGAAGAGACTAAAATCAGATCATCTATGAATCTGAAAGAAAGTATTTAAGCTGCACAACCAAAATATGTTTTGGAAATACATACGGTCTATTTCTGCACAATACTATAATGCCACACTGATGGCAATACCTGTATTTCTCTCAGATCTTTGTCATGCAGATTCTGCAGTGGGTCAATGAAGTTTTGTTTCACTTCCATGTCTAAGGAGTCTTTGACCTCAGAAAGCTCCTTCATAGCTTCTCCCACATCAGCAAGTGCCGGTCCTTAAAGAAAAGATGGCCAGTGTATCTTAAAACAGCATAGTTCCAAATTACTGTAGAATGACACTGAGTCAAGAAAATTTTGGTTAACATTTTACTTACAGCCTCAAGGAAAGAGATAGAATATGATGCACCATGCAAAAGAACAACATGTATTTTTCACTTCTGCAGCCCCCAGAGTTTACAGGTTGCTACACAGATGAAGCTGAGGACTCACACTGCATCAAAGCAGCCCGTCCCCACACCTCATTGTCTACTGTCACCCTTGCTCTGGTGAGACAAACCTGCCAGAAAATAATCGCTTCTACTTACTGCAGTGTTGCCACCACAATACCTGAAACAGAAGTCTGTGTCTCCCTGTCTGCCTCAGTGTGACTCTTTCAAAAGTAAAAATTGTTAGCATTTTCACTAATGATTTTTTTTTATGCAAGCGTCAAGTTTATACATTTAGTGGAGACAAAAATCTCAGTAAGAATTAGCTGTCTGTTGTTTTTTCCAAGCCTCCCTTTAGATCCACCAAATACATGGCTCCATTTTTCTCCTCAGCATGGAGACGACACCAGGAAGCACAAAAATACTTCTCTGCTATGAGGCTCAGGATGGTAGTATAAAGTCTACTTTCAAAGAATACAAAGAGTCTGAACAATTAAAAATGTAAAAAATCACAAGAAGTCCTGGCTTTACCTTCCAAACAGAGGGCAATATGTGGCAAAACTAAATAGCCTGCTAGACCCAGATAAAAGGTAACAGACAGCTGTACTCACTATTATTAGTTAAGAATGTGAAAATAACTGTCACATATATTCTGCTGTGCACCAGTGCAATCATCACACAACATGCAAACTGAATTCTATTATTTCATTTTCCATTTGAAAATACATTCAAAGTTTAGAAAATTAGAGACAAAAATATAAAAGAAACAGTTCAGCAATAATTAGTAGAAATTATCTTGTATCTGTCAAGCTAATAGGTCCATTTTGTGCAACAACAGGAAAGTGTCTTCTTCATCGCAGATGTTTTTATGCTCAAGACAACATTTTAGGATGGCTCAAAGAAGAAACAGATGTTCCAAGGTCCTATATCAGTGTTCAGGGTACTGCCCTATAAAAATGGCTGCAGAAATACCACAGAAAACATAAGTTCCTGCTTTGAATGTGATCTTTTATAATTAAATTCTACTGTTGAAGAACATCTCTAACTTAGGCAGCTGCAAAATCCATTTGGGTGGAGAGGGTGGAAAGCTATAGAGAAGACAAGAGTAATCTTTCATGTTAAAATGTGTAATTTGGACAGAAAAAAAAGGCTGAACAGAGTATATAAGGAACGAGCATTTTTAAAACTGGAGTTAAAAATATTTATAAGCCTTTATTCCATGTCTGAAGTGAAGACAGCAACATTAGTTATAAAGTTTCTGAGGACAGATTTTATTGTACATACACACAGACAGTGATAATACATATTCCAGACACACACCTTTTCAACATAACCTATCTCTGGTTATATAACCAGTGAGACACAGCACAAAGCCAATACAGACATGGTTCTGAACGGTAACAACTTGACTTTCATCCATAGGAAAAAAATCTCCGGTCTCAACCTCTAGAAGACACTGGATCTGCATCACGAAAACAGCCCTAGACCAACCTTTGAGCAGAAGCCTGATGAAACTAAACTCTGAAATTTCTTGTGGAAGCTCTTCCTTTATAGAATTAAATAATTATAACATTTAAACATTTTAATTACAAAATTTATTTAATTATAATTGAAAGGGAGGCAATCAACTCACCAAAGTTGCATTCTTCTCCAAGTTCTCGACCAAATTTCAGCATCGCGTCTGCCAGCAAGGCTTCAGCCTGAGGATAACCTGGTCCCTTTTCCTGTCCTCGAATTTTTGACATAGTGTTGATCATGCTGAGTTTAGCTCTGGAAGCTGAAACAGGCCAGTGGCAGTTATAAATACACAGTAGTTAGAGTAAACCAATATGAATGATCCAATTCACCTGAAATGTTAACTAAACTGCCTAATTTCCACAAAAGATTTTGAGTGAGGACATTAAATCTTATTGGTCACTGACTTTTGCAGAAGTTTTCTTTAGCTGGTAGGTCAGAGAGAAGGCTCTGTCCTGAACATCAAGCTAGAACTTCCTTTGAAATCACTTGGACAAAAGAAAGCCCAGAAACACTCTCAAGACAGCATATTTGACATGACTTCAAACAAACACAGGAGAAAAGTCTTTAACCCATCTCCATATTCTCAATGTTTGGATTTGTGCAGATGATATAGAAAACAGACTGGGCGACCTTTGGTCTCAAGGACAAGTCCAGAGTGGACACCGTATTGCAGACTCCAACGTTTCTCAATTTTTGGAAGATTTTCTACTGTAGAATTAAAGCCAAACAACCAACAAAAAACCCTATGCTCCCAAACAGGATGATAATAAACTATCTTTAAAGCAATTCTTATTTTTTATGAGGATTTGGAGACACTCATGCTTTTTGATGGTATCTTATCTTCTATTTCTGATACACAACTGCAAAACAGGAGATAGCACACATAATTATCATAACTGATGAAAACAAAGTCAGAAGAAGAAAAGAATTTTTTGTTGATGTGTTTACAGAAAATTTTTGCAAGTACAGAATGTGAATAGCATTCAGAGAATGAATTAACTGCATTTTGCTTCAAATCTCACCAGCTATATCCTACTGCCAGCTGAGCTGGCTCAGAGTTGGATCAGACTGCCCGCTTCTACCTACAGCATTGTGTATGCTACAATAAGGCAGCTATGAATAGCTCCACTTTCTTTACTGAGAAAGACTCTACCTCATTGTTACTCTGATGTATTTCCATGGACAAAACATCAGCAACTTATGTTGATGTACGCAAAAGTCATTGGTCAAAACTCAGCCTTGCACATATTTCGGCAACAAAGCAAAACACTGACTGACTAGAGTTAATAATGTTTCACTCTTAATTTACTTTGAAGACTCTATGTCATGAGATGGCTCCATTTGCTGAACATATTTCATTTTGTGGCACATATGTATGCGCAGACTCAGACACACAAACAGACACAGGAAAATCAGGAAACTGTCGTAATACATATTTTGCCTGAGAGGCAGCTTATGAAAGGGCAACATATTTTTAACATACAGTAATTATGTTTTTGTAAGCTTTCTCACTACCCTTCAGTGTCATAAGATCATGTTTTTCTGCATTTGAATTTGTTGATGCCTTCTGTTGTGGTGTGCTACAAAACTGCGGGCAACACACTGGCTGACTGTTCAGTATAAGAAACCGCATTTTAACAAAATGTCTGGCTTTTAAAAGTGCCATTGGACGGGAGCTAATCCCAATATTGGCTCAAGGAGAAGCTGTTAGATGTGTTGCTTTCCAACGATAAAACCCTATAGAATCCAAAACTGCTTAAATCAATATAAGACTCCTGTTGACACCAATTAGTAATGATCAGGACATGATACAAAGAAGGAAGGCACAGTTAGCCCTAATGTTACCATTTAGGGAACAAGCCTGACATGTATAAGAAGACAGAAAGAGAACTCTGAGAACTAAGCAAAATTAAAAGTATTGTATAAAGCATAAAATAAACCATGGCACAAACAAAATGAAGGGGACAGGAAATGAAAACAAAGATATGGGAAGCAAGTTGAAAATTTCTAGAGTGAAATCAAAGATACAAGAAGAGTATAAAAAGAAGTGGCTATATTCTGGGCAGATAGAAAAGAGTAGAAAGAAACACTATGGTAAGCACAGAAAGTTAAACTAAAAATCAAATCTGGTTTATGAAGTCAGTTTTGTTTCCTGGTGGAAATGTCATGGCCCATGTAATCGTGCTTTAGAAGTATATTTCAGAAGACACTCAGCAATGGCCTTGCTCCCCTGCTCCTGCAGAGCTGATTGCATTAGCTTCCACGGGAGCAGAGGTCCCGTGTGTGCGTCTGTCTGGAGAACACACCCCTGTCACTTGCCTTATTCCGTTAGTGTAACCATGTAGTTACTTTTGTAATTGTGTTTGAGCCCGAGTGAGGACGGGCAAAAATGTATGAAATGCCACACAGAAGTCTGATTCTTTCCCCCATTTCACTCCCGTTCCTTTTCATTGTCCTTAATGGTGTCACTAGTGATTCACCTTGCCATCAAGCGTTAACAGAACCACACTGAATCACAGGAACAGCAGCCACAAGAGAGTTTGAAGCTAACTTTACCATTGCTTATTCTCACTTTCTTTAAATCATGGTTGTGCACATATGCACAAAAAGATCTGAGCATTCACCAAGTTCAATTTTAGTTATTCTCAGCTGTGCTCCGGCTTTTTTTCCTGCTTGGGAAGGAGACAAGGCTGTCTTTTTCATTTGTGCTAACTTCAGCCCAGCACCTCTTTCCGTAAAGTCACTCTCTCTGTCATTAGTAGCCAGTATGAGTTCATTAATTGGTTAGTAAAGTTGGACAATACAGTATGCCTTTGAATACAGCATCTATTGATTCCAAATATATCACAAAATCAAATGATCTCTAGCACTACTGTACTCTGCCACCCTACATATCTCATAATGTGCATTGCATCCCAAACCCTACTGAAATTAGATAACCTTTTAAGAAAAATACTCTGTTAAATGTTTCTGATAAGGAATATCTTATTAATATTAATATTTCTGGGATTTATTTCTATTAATATTTCTATTTCTTTATATTTTCTATACTTGGAAATGAGAAAGCAAATAGGAGATACTGGAAAACTACATTTTCAACCCCCCAGGAGAATTTTAAAGAACAATTTCTTTCATTTTCAAAGCAATTCTTATCACTGTGATCACCTTTTTGCATTTTAATAACTGGTCTAAATCAAGCTAAGGCCATGCAAGAACTGAAGGAGGCAATCCTGCTCTGTCTGCCACCTTTGCCTATCCATGGCATGAAAAACACGACAAAAAAAACAAATATTCCTCATTCTTACTACTATTTTATTTTTCTGATCCTTTTCACACTCTTGACAAGAAGGTGAAAGATGTGTAGTTGAACCATGGGAATGGTTCTTTCTACATTGACGCAAAGTTGTATCCTCCCCAGGTGGTGGAAACTTCACCTTGAGCTACTTCCAGAAATTTTGCTCATTGCTGCTGGTGTGGGCTGCTTTTGTCATTCAATCATAATCACTCGGAGGTATCAGGAAGGCAGCCAGAACAGCAATCTGGCTGTTCAGTCTATACTGTTCAGTCTATACTATGTCTCACAACAGCAGCTTGACAGTAGTTAACAATTTTATCACTAGCCCCATAATGTTTGTCAGGTCTATTGCTTTTCCTGCAGAGAGATTGTTGATGAGGAGCCATGAAGCTATGGACTCAAGTCATAAACACTATTCCATCTGTTGACATAGAAACCGTTTTAGTCATCGTTATTTTCTCTTTAACACTTCTTGAACTTGTACTTTTTTTTTTTTTTTTTTTCATTCTTGGCAGTAGCATCATATTATCCTTTTTCCCTCCATGGTCTAACTTGTAAATATCACTAATTAAGAGCTACACCAGCACCACTCTTTCATCTGTCACACTGGAGATAAAATATTTCCCACCAGCTCAAAGCTACTTCCAACTGAAATCCAGCGAATGTTAATCATTCCTCCTGAATTTTGACTCTCCTTCCATGTAATTCTAAGATATTAGTCACAGCGCCTAATTTTACTTCTGTGCTCATTTTGTGCTTGCTTAAAGCCATTGATTTCACCAGTGACATTAACATTGATTTATGCTTGTATAAAAACTCCCTGTTTGGGGGGGTTAATTATGGAATGCCCTAAGTAAGTTGCTTGATCTAATTTTTCAGTAGTAATCATGACAGCTTCCCATCATGATCCAACCGATCTGACCGGCAGGAGAGGCACATGCAGATTTCCACAAGCCCTGCCACAAAACCCTTCCTTTCCTCATGAAAGCCAGTTATTTAACTCTGTTTTGAAAGTTTAACTTAGTCACCTCTGATTAAGCTTGAAGTCTACCTCATGCCCCAGCCCAGTAACTGGGCTGTATCTTTTGTACATTTTCATACTATTGCAGTCCTATCTATTTCCAGAACAATTTACAAGAAAAGTACTTTTCTCCTGCTTGTCTCTCAAAATTTTGTTAAAAATGGACAAAACACAAAAGGAGAAAAAAGAAAAACTGCACCTTAAACTGCTTGACTACCTCTGACTCCCAGCCCTGCTTTGATGTTGTGTTGCAGCAGGCAGAGGTCAATCACTGTGGCAGCCCCGGCTCTCCTGCTCCCTCGCGCGCGGTGGGACAGGCTCTGTGCCCCACGCACACAGCTGCTTTCGAGGAAACACGCCACTTCTCAGCACATACTGTCCCTTTCCTTAACATGAAGACGTACAAAGGAAAAACAGCTTCCCCCTCCAGATTAACCCTCCATTCCCTGGACTGATACAGACGCCTGCACTCGTCTCAAGTCTTTTCATTTCATAGTAACTCCACTGGCTTTGCTTTAATCTTAACTGCACTACGAAGGGTAAGCTTTGTTGGACCGTATGTGGGTGAAGATTGAAAAAAAAAAATGTTTTAGCAAAGTGCTGCAAATATTGTGAGACTGAAATTACATTACCTGGATTGGGCTGAAGATATTCTATAGTCTTGGCCATTATTTCCATAACTGCTCTGCTGGTAACGTCCACTTTCTAAAGAAGAAATAATTAAACAGAAAGAAACAAGAAAAGAAACAAGAAAAGAGATGTTGGACAAAAATAAGACCTTTTTTCCTCTCTTCATTTCTCTCTCTCACTCTCTCTCTGTATTCTTATTATTTTTCTGTCCCTAAGAACTGACGCTGATTAAATCCAGCACTGGTACCAGAATGGGGATAAGGAAAGCTGCCTGAATTGCTACAGAAACCATCATCCCACTTTGTAGCAGAATCACTCTCAAGTTAGGCCATTATTCTGGCAGCAAAGGGAAAAATAGAAGCATAATGTAATTTTGGTTGCACAGGGAATTTCATACAGTAAGTGATGCTGATTTAAGATGTACACCACCCTAAGATATGCCCGCAAAAAGGGAAAACCTTGGCTTAGAAAAAGTCACTGAAAACTATTTGAAGTATCATTTGTTCAAAATACTCTTTGGCCTCCTATTAACAGGAAAAGCAAAGGGAAAGCAGGTGTCAATCCAAACAACTCACTAAACACCAAAGGAACTATCCGTTTCCTTCAAGGCTAATTTGGGCAAAAACGGGACAGGAAAGAATAAGTCTCCCTCAGTATCCAGTATAAAGAAACCTGTTACCATAGAGGTGCTGACCATTTATTTCCTTGGACTGAAACAAGAATTATTTTATATTTAGGCATTTAAAATAAGGCTGACTATTCTGGACTGAAGATCATTACTTCCCTCCACAATAACTCTTTGATATCTTAAGCGATTTTCTGCATCAATTTCCTAAGTTATATGTAGTGGAGAAGTATGTTAACTATTCTGCATTCAAAAAACTGCTTAGTATGCATAAAACTTTAAAGGAACAGTCTGCAATCCAAGTTCATCCAAGAGATGACGAGCACCATCTGCATCCACAGACTTTGTTAGAAGCCGCAAGATTTATGCATCTTCCAGCAAAAAATGCAATACCTCTTAGAACTGGGCCTCAAAGGAAGAAATGTCCCTTCTACACATATAAGGTTTCCTACAGTCTTTCTACACTCTGCATTCGTGAACACATTGGATTTCTCTGTCAGGTAACTTGTGTCCTGTGCAGCAAACTGCTTTGCAACAAAAGCGAGCTCCTGTTTTCAAAGTGAGCACCTGAGGTAAGATGGTCACAGCATGCTGCAATTGACCTCTTTCCTGCTTTCTGCCCCCACTGCCATCTGCCAGTTCTTGCTCTCTGCTTTACACAAAGCAGCAGAAGAGACCGGTAGCTGGGGGTAAAGAAGTAGCTGCACTGCCCGGTGGGGAGCCCAGAAAGGGCTGGAAGGCTGCAGTGGAGAGCGGGGAGAGGGAGCAGATGGCCAGGACGTGCAGCAGGGACAAATCCAACACAGAGGAAGAGCTGACAAGGGACGCGAGGGCATGGGGCCAGGAAGGAGCATCCCCAGGTGCCATCCTGTGCTACCCACAAGCCCTACATGGGACTCACTCTGCCTTTGCACTGTCTTATTTTCCATTCTAGACCTTGCATGTTTTTCTAAATTTTCTTTATCAACTTCCGGTTAGTTTCCATGTTAGTTTCTACACTTGCATCCAGTTTAAAGGGAAAGGAGGAGGAGGTAGAGAAATCTACTCTGCAGTGCTTGCATTGCAGGAAGAAAGGACAATCCTGTTATGCAGTTTTCTTTTATAATCTATCCAAAGTCTTTCCCCATCTCTCTACACAAATGAGCTCAGAGGTAGCATCTGCTTCTCTGCGCCAAGGATGCGTATCAATCAGATACATATCTTACAAATTGCCTATCAGCAGCTTGTTTTACAGGATTTGCTGGTGACACTGAAAGTCAAAGCCAGAAACATAGCTGCCAATATGCCCTTTTCAGCTGGCATATTCACACCACCACCAACGGCAGGTGGATTTTTTTTTCCCCCTGAAAATGCTCACTGTTTTCCCATAAAAATTGTTTATAGTGGATGTGGCCAGTCCAGGGTCTATGCTCTTCTACACTGCTCAGCAAGCATCACGGATGAATCACTGGCACCTTCTGCCACCACAGCAACCACCAAAGCTTTACCTGAAGCTAATTTGTGGCTGGTATTAGTCTGAATCACTGCAATACCAGCATTTTACAGAGTGCCTATATACTATGTATTCCTTGGTCAGAGAATGAAAAGGGTCCAGGAACTGAAAGTTCAATCCAAAACCTGCTGAATAAAACTCTCTCAAAATTACTTGATTGAGTTGGGGACAAAAGCTTATAAAATCCTGTCCTAGAAAGAAAAATAAACAGTAATCATGGATATACATACCTGTATTCAGACTTACCCTTTCCATTTCTTTGAAGTCATCATCTAGCTTGGTTCCTTCTGCACCTCCTACTTTCTCACTCACTTTCTGCAGTTACAAAAAAAACAAACACAGATTCAGAAATTTCAGCAATAAGTTTCCTTATAAGTGTGTTTTTCTGTAAGTTTCACAACACTCAAATATGCTATTCTTCATTTTCAAAAAAAAATATTTCAAATACACTTTATTTCAGGTTAAAGACTAGGAAAATAAACATTAGTGTTAAATTCTCGGAGCCCCAATCTCCTGCTAGTGTCAGAATAGTTACATACTGCCAGGTCTTTGCAGGATCACACCCTTGTTTCTTTGTGTCATGAATATCTGGAACATCTTGGACTTAACGAGTCATTAATCAACAGTAACAAAGCTGTCTTTAGCAGTCAGAAATATCCACGGTCAAAAAGGAGGTGCCTTGATAGAATAAACTGGCCAAAGGATTCAAGAGACTAAGAAGTTCTCATCAGACGTGAAAAAAAAGACAGCCTTAGCTGCATTGCTTAGAACATTTTAATGCAACATCAGGGATAAAAAACATATTTAAGTACAAAATACTTCCAGGCCCTGACTCTAAACTACCCAGAAGGCAACAGGCAGCAAACACCTGACAGCTGAAAAACGACAGGTACGCATTTACCTTATTCCATGCCAAAATCAGTCCTAAATCCTTAAATATTAATTTTATATATACAAACAATGCATACAAAAACCTACATTCACACAAGCAAGAGCTTGAGGGTCTGTTTTTTATATATAAAAAACAGTTGAAATAAAACCAAAAATAAACAAAAAGAACCCAAAATCCAAGAACCAGAAAAGGTGAATTTAAATATCATGTCTTTGGCAAATTTGCTTTTTTTTTTTTTTTTTGTAAAATACTGTTGAAATACAATTAGGAAACAGTTCTGTGTTACCATTTCTGAATTGTGCTGGAACACATGGATCTGAGTTTCCCATTACTGTCTGTAAAAGTGACAATAACAGATTCAAATGATGACAACTATGCAGCTCTCGTCAAAACAGATTTTTAGCAATTGCACTGTTAGTCACGAAGTGTTTCAGTGCTGTAGCTCTGCAAGTCAGTCACATGCACATGACACAGGGAATGTAGAATCTTCCTCTGCTCTGGTATTTGTCACAGGAAATGTATCAGACACATGACTTTCTGACTTCTCTTCACTGTTCGCATTTCATATTGAACATTATTTAATTTTATATTATTCTCTATGAGTCTCTGAATTTTCTTTAGACTGTTTTAACAGAGTGTAACTCCTGATTTTAGTAAAGCAACTCCTGCATTCACAAGCAGAAATGATGGAAAAATTGTGCTTTTTCCTGTCCTGGTTTCAACTATTGCGTTAACTTTTTTACAATACAAAAAGAAGAAAGATATATAGGCAATCACTTTCCTTCCATGAATAAAATCCAGACATCTGATTAATTTCAAATTTGTTCACTTACATAGAACTGCAATTGCACTACAGGCAGGACATTACTAAAGAAGACCATTACTGTCTGTACAATGGGAAGCAGCTATCACCTCTGCTGTTTTCTGTCAACTTCTCACTAACCAGAAGGCTGCATTAATGAAGCAAAGTTTATTCAGGCACCTTAGTGAGACAGCAATCCTTCGGAACTTCCTGAGAAAAATAATGGAAGGATTTTACTTATCTCTTTTTCCTTATGCAGAATGGATTTGAAAATCTCTGCAAACTCTCCCCTGCCAATACTGCAAATGCAGGTGAGTTTTTGTCCATGTCACTGAACTTGTGCCTGACAGAGATTTGAAACTCATTACTATCACAAACAACTCTGCAATGGACAAGAGATGGACTGAATGTCCTAAAAGTTACTATTAATTTGAAGTTTCCATGAAACCTGGTAGCAAGGAAGCATGAAAGACTGCTCAGAAGCTTTCTTTGTCAATCTGTGAATGAATCTTTTCATGGTCGTCCTGCTATGGTTGAGGTGGCAAAATCCACCTCAATCCAGATTCCTACCAAAGTCTCTGGAAAGGACAAGAAACAAGCATAATGCTACTAAAATATTCAAAACTGCTTTTGAATAACTGAAGTTGAGCTCTGAACATACAAAGTATCCAAAGGTAAGCAGAACCAGTGTCCCAGCTCTTTAACCTGTATCTTTACATATTTCATCTTTTTACCTGCTTGTGGTCTCTTTACAGGTGATGAGGACTTACATAGACATGCTCATCATCCTCAGAGAGCCTCTGAAGACCCCACCTCATATCCACAAAGAAGAGCTTTTGCAATTGCTCTTTCCTGTATATTCATCATTCTTCTTGCTGAGCAATGTAGGGTACCTTTTCTTAGTAATACGTCCTATAGAAGAGGTCATTGCTAAGGCAACAAAGCAACAGATCTCTCTCTTTTTTTTTTTATCAGCATGCATTAAAAAAAAATCCTCACTCTGTCCATATTAGTCTCACATCCAATTTTATGACTCCCTGCTTTGAGGTATCGAATGGAAAACTATGACTCACTGTTTTAAGATAGCAAATGAAATAACGTCCATTCCCCAGGCAAAAATTTCACTTGTAAAGGTCTTGGTCAAGTACTGCTAAAGGCAACAGAGAGAAGAATCAAAAGTAGAAGGATGATCCACGAAATCTTTAGCTCTTCACAAACTAGGTGACTCTTCTCTTGAGGTCAGCTGCATCACAGGCCTGCAGAGCAGTTCCTTCAGCACTACCAGCCAAGCAAAAATCTATTTTGGAAAAGTGTGGGTAGGCCACCATGAAAGAGCAGCTGAACAGCAGTCCTCCATGAAAACACAACTACTATTTTTTCTTGAAAGCCACAGGCACTCACCAGTGAGAGCATAAAAATCAAAGTAAAGATTCAAATTTAAGAGTGAAAAACCCTCGAGAGATAAATCCATCCCTAAGGCAGAAGGGGTAAATCTACTCAGAGGAGGAGATTAAGCTGCCCATTGAAAGGCCATAATTTAATGTGGTCCTGTGGCAGCTGAGGGCCTAACAAAGGCATATGCAGCAAATGCATAAGCATATGCCTCGAATCCCATGCCAGTCATCACTGTACTGACAAAATTCAGAGATATTATTTAACTGCTGTATATCCAGGCTCCAAAATGACTTTTAAAGTACTTAATTAAGGCTGCTATTCCACAGTCCGCTCTCTGAAATTGTCAGATTTGGTTATGATAGGTCATGAAGCTATGTCAGCTTACATGTACCAAGGATCTGCCTTCATCTGCTCAGAAGCAGTCTGAAAAATTCTCAGCAAGTAAAGCTGGCTAGAAAAAAAAAGTCTCCTCTGCCATATCATATAGATGAAGGTTCAACATTTTGTTTCCTGCTTTACAAATATATGAAAATTGGACTCTCAAAAAAGATTTTAATAGTAATAATACATCTCCCGCTCATCCAGTGGGCATATAGAAGAAACAGGACTTAATGTTGGGTCTCCAGCAATAGAAATCAGGACCAAAACTACATAGCTACTTTAAATCACACCTTCTATTCCTAATGTTAACTATTTCATCCTGCCTCCTCAAATCTTCACAATTACCATAAAAATAACTTTTTTTTTTTTTTAATGCAAGAACAAATAAGCATTTTCTATGTGGAGGAAATATATAATGAAAAGGCTTGTTGCTCAGAAAAACTTCCATGTTTTTTTTTTTCTACCTAACAATACCATGCTCTGAAGCTTTGATCCTATATATTATACAACAGAAAACCAGCACTGTGTGCCTTAGAGCAAAGTCCAGTTGCATAAGGATCCAGTTTCCATTCATGCAGAATATTAACTTAATATCCAGAATGGTTTCAGTGGAGACTACAGATATCAGAATGGTTTCAGTGGAGACTACACAGGCGGTAGGAATCCTACTTTTCCTGGGCAAAAGAAACTGCTTTTTTTCTGTCAGAAAATTTAAAAAGCACAGTTTTTGGTAGAATTTGATTAGAATTGAAATATAATGCAGAATGTCAGGAATGCAGTTCGGTAGATGGAGCAGATGTGAAACAGCAAATCTTGGGTCTTAGTTATGGAGCTTATTGTTCCATGTCTCATATAGCTGTGCATCCACCTTTTTGATATTGCTGATTCACTGGCAATATGTTGTAGAGGCCAAAAACGCCTGTGCAGTCACTATGGATACATCGAAAATGCCAATTGTCTTACACGGAATATACTGAAGATCACTTTTAGTTTTCCAAAAAAAACAGCCCACTAATTAATGAGCATATGAATCTGACACTGGCATCTGTCACTTTTCAGAAGCCATTAATGCAAATCAAATGTGCATTAAGTAGTTACTCGGTGGAAATTGTTTTCTTTAGTGCTATGACACTGAATCATGTTAGACTGCTTTCCGAACAATTCATGGTTGAAACGATTACCTACCAAATCCCCCCCTACTATAAAAAAGAAAAGAATGTGCAGTTTGCTAAGTCACTACCTGAACTTGGAAATACAGCAAGATTAGCATAAAACCACAAAAGTTATTCAGGTCACCTGAGTCTTCAGCCTTACTCATTTTGTGAAACAATGATTTGGCAGCAAATGCATAGTGCACCTTAGCTTGTATTTAGGAGTACAAAATCAGCTTTGGGTGTTTTGCCACCACAACACAGTACTTTGACTACGCAGCAAGTAGAACGCTGTCTTTGCAAGGCAGCCACACAGTGAGACTTTCTCTCTGAGCACTGCAACACTTTTACTCAGACACTGCACACTGCAAGCACTAATCTAGCCCTCCTCTCCGTTCTGAATGCCCCTTGTCATTACTGCCATTCCAGACGCATTTTCTCGTACAGGTATTTTGGAGACCAACCCTGCCACATGGACATGCACTTCTACAGTTCCTCCGTGCAATTTTTGCCTTTTTGACTTTTATCTGTCATTGTGAGGTTCTGGAAGTAGGGTGACAGCAGTAAGCATCTTCAGGTTAAGATTTTGAATCAGGCTCCAAAACGCTGTGCTGCTTTGTTAGCACTGGAGACACAAGAAGGACGTAGATGGCTTGCAAAAGAGAGTGAGAAATATACATTTTGATTAGAAGAA